CTGTTTGCTCTGTTCCTGTTTCCTAATCTAAGTGTTGACCTGGCTTGTCCCTGACCATTCTCTGGATCCTGTTTATGCTGTTATTATTACCTCTCTGGCTCCTGACCTGGCTTGTCCCTGACCATTCTCTGGATTCTGTTTATGCTGTTATTATTACCTCTCTGGCTTCTGACCTGGCTTGTCCCTGACCATTCTCTGGATTCTGTTAAGGCTGTTATCATTACCTCTCTGGCTCCTGACCTGGCTTGTTCCTGACCCTCCAGGGAATCTCTCAGTGAAACACCATTCTCCGCTGGCACCCAGGATTCCATACCGGCACCCGTGCTGCTCTTGCCTGTGACCCCCTGTTGCACCCTCAGGGGTCCACAGACGGAACCGCAAGGGAGGTCCTCCTAGATACTTCAGGCTCGCACCACGGTACGTAACAGGTATACTTGCGGTTAGCAGGTTAGATGATTCACAAGATCTGATGAGCGTGGGTTAATACCACACACTAGGTATTCCAGGATAGGGAGGAAAGGTGTGCATGTGTCCTAATGAACAGGAGGCTGGAATCCCTTCCCACACTTCATGAACTCGCCAGCAAGACAGGAATCAATCAGTAACAAATGTTGACTGCTGCAAGTAACATCCCATGTGAGTTTCCAGGAGTGAGCTGGTCTGTGGCAGAAGCATCCAGGGTAGATTGTTAGATCAGAAGATGGAGGATCGCAGTGCGGGAGATTGCTCAGCGTCTTCAACAACAAGATGCCGAGCAATTCTAAACCTGCGGTTTAAATCTGACAGCTGGCTGTGAAGGTAGGAGCAGCGTGATGCCGCGGGAGTGGGCATCGCTGAACGCTGTAGACAGAACGCTACGAGGTAAGTCTATTACAGTACCCCCCTCTCAAATGTCCCACTCTGGGATTCCTGAGTGGTGAAGGATGTTGGGGGTACCTAAGATGAAATTACTTAACCAGTTTAGGAGCATGTACAGTTGTTGAGTCTTCCCATGAATCCTCTTGGGGACCATAGGATTTCCATCGTATTAGGTACTGTAACTTATTCCAAATGCTACGGGAATCCAACATTTTTTACACTTCAAATTGACTGGAGGGGAATGAGGTGGTACACAATTTGAGAAAGTGTTTTTCCCATGAGGTTTTAATACGGAAATATGAAATGAAGGATGAATCCTCAATTCAGGAGGTAAACTGAGACGTACAGTAGACTGATTGATGATCTGTTGTATCAGGTATGGACCAATAAATAGTTTACTGAGCTTTTTAAGAGGATTTTAAGGTTAAGGCTTCTTTGTGGCTAACCATACCAGGTATCCTATGCAATATTGTGAAGTGCTCCTCCTTCTAATATCGTGTTAATGTTTTTGTTTCTCTTGAGCCTTTTGCATGTTAGTTTTAAGATAATCAGTAGTTTGTTGTAATCGTAGCATGTATTTATCAGTAGCTGGATTGTTGGTATGGATGTGTGTGGTTGGAAAAGAATTTGGGTGGAACCCAATGTTTGAGAAGAATGGTGTTTGGTTAGTAGAAGAACTTATGGAATTATTATAGGAAAATTCTGCCAAAGGAAGTAAATCGGCCCAATCACCCTGGAGGTAAGTTCAGTAACATCTTATGAATTGTTCCAGACATTGGTTCACTCTCTCTGTTTGGCCATTAGTTTGGGGATTGTAGGCACTGGAAAGACTATGGTCGATTTGAAGTTTGAGACATAGGACCTTCCAGAACATAGATATGAACTGTGTTCCGTGGTCCGTGATAATTTGTTTTGGCATTTTGATGTTGTTTTGAGAGGAATGCCTCTTCAGTTTCCAAAAATTGGGTAATTTTTTAAGGGGCACAAATTGTGCCATCTTTGTCAGTAAATCAACAACTACCCAGATTGTGTTCTGGTTTTTCGAAAGAGGAAGGTCAACTATGAAATCCAGGAAGACAACCTCCCATGGGTTATTTGGTATGGGTCAATGTGTTAATAATCCATATGGTCTTTCTCACATGTACTTACATAATTCTGGATAGTTGTAGACATGTTTGGCTACCAGAAATATCGCTTCACTAAGCCTTGTTAACCCCTGGGTGACCAGGGAGAGGTGCATCATGCATTCATTTGAGAATTTGTACTTGCATTGGAGAAGGTATGTATAATTTAGAATCCTTGTAAAAGATCCTTCATGATCAGCAATAAGTCCCGAATATAAGATAGCTGTATCAGATTGCAATGCCTGTTTGAGTTGTTGGTTTAGGTTAATGGTAGTGGATATGATCTTTTCTTGAGCAATGATGGAAGTGGGTTCGCTGGTTAGTTTAATTGGTTCGTTGATCCGTGAGAGGAATCTGCTTCACCGTTTTTAGAACCTCGTCGGCAGGTAATAACAAAATCAAAGCGGTCGAAGAAGAAACTCCATCTAACTTGTCTTGAAGATAACGTTTTGTTAGTCTTAAGATACTGTAAATTTTGATGGTCAAGAGTAGATTATGATAAGTTGCTACTACCCTCAAGAAAGTGTCTCCAATTTTCCAGTGCAGATTTTATTGCAAAGAGTTCCTTTTCACCAATAGGATAGTTCATCTCTGTGGAGTTTAGAGTACGGGAGTAGAGTGCTAATGGATGTAATGGTGAAAGATGGGATTGTCTTTGGGAGAGAACAACACCAATAGCAACATGAAAAGCATCAACTTCGAGCACTAAGGACCATTTTTTTCAAATGTATCCTTTCCATTACATGTGCTTTCCTGCACACAGTCTATAGATACAGAATTATCACTTTGTCTAAATTTTAAAGTCCCACTTCAGCCAAAATGTTTTTTAGTTTTGTACAGGAAAGGTATAAACCCCATTTTAGATTTTTATTGTGGTCTGCATTCTTATTGGGGAGATGTACCCTCACTTCCTGTTATAACAAGAAATGATGGGAAATCTCTCCAGTGGGGAGACAAACTACAGCAAAACACATTTTTGGATGTAACAATGGTTAACAATCTTCAACAGGGTTATTAATTTTGACTGAATAATTTTTTTTTTCCCTAAGTCTATTCAAAACAAGACAAAAAACAAAACCTGGCTGGAGCTGGGTTTTAACTTTAAAAATGTTAAATTTGCTGGGGGCTACGTAGCAACTGTTAAGATACTTTGGACAAGACTATCTAATGAACAATATAGCTTATAGAGTGCAACGTTCAGAACTGTACAGTAGGCAGTACTATGTAATGTGTATAGATTGCACGAGTAAGTACAATTAAATATACAAAATGGTTTGAAGAATTCAACAGTTATGAAAAAGTACCTCTTATGTTAGTGGTCAGTAGTGAGTGTCCCTTTAAAGTTAGTTGGGCAGGGATGAGTGTCCACACAAACTGTTGATTTGTGTGGTTGAGTGCTGGACTCCAAGCTCAGTGGAGGTTCCAAATAAATCAAATGATTATTATCATAATGTGGCAGCTCCTTACTGCGTGGTGGAGCCCAAGCCATAGGGACCAGTCCATATGTATTTATTTGTCACAATAAAATGGTGTATTAAGAGTTAAAAGCCATTGCATTTTCGTGGTAATGCACACCCTCACCCTCTACAACATTGGTGGTTAGCGGCGGGTGCATTTTACAACCCTCATAACCAGGGCCGGATTTACTCTCTCTGCTGCCCCAAGGCCAGGATCCGCAATGCGCCCCCCCCTATCAACCCCCCCATCAATGGAGAATGGCAACCAGATGGCAGGGCGGCAGGGTTAGATTTTTTTATGATTATTTTTTTTTTAAACTTTTTTATGACTTTTTTTATTTTTATTTATTTTTTTACTTTTTACATTTTTATTTATCTTATCGTTTACTTTTTTATTTTTAATATTTTTTTATCGTATTATTGTTTATTTTTTATAATTATTTTCTTAATCATTTGTTTCTTATTATTTTTTTACTTGTTAATCACCTTTTTATTTTTTTATTTAATTATTTCTTTTTTACATTTTTATTTATCTAATTTTTTTTATCAAATTGTTTTTTTTCCACTTAACTTTATTGCTATCACACAGGAGCTAACAAGCACCTGTGTGATAGCAATTGGAGGTGACAGGTTCTCTATATTGACCCTGTCACCTCCAATACAGGAGTTCTAGCACAGTGCTGTGCTGGAACTCCTGTCACAGCTCCTGTGTACACGGAGCGGCAGGGTTACTTTTAACCCTGCCGCTCTGCTCCCTGCATCAGTGGCAGGGACTCGGGACAGGAGAGAAACTCAGCGGCAGAGGAAGGACGGAGCCAGCATGGAGAGAGGTAGGTGCGGGGGGAGAACAGGCAGGTTGCAAACTTATTACAAGTGATCTCTGCGACATCGCCGAGATCACTTGTAAACGTACAATAGGCTTCCCTGCTGTACATTTACCCCTGCTTGTGCAAAGCAGGACTAAATGTAGAAGGCGCAACTTACCGCCTAGCGCCCGGAACTGCGTGTTCCGGGCGTCGGGTGATTTCATCCCACTGCCGCTCCTCTGTGCCCTGCCGCCCGAGGCCGGGCCTCTGTGGCCTTGTGGGGAATCCGGGCCTGCTCATAACATCGGTGTGTGTAGTGGAAACTCAGTTAGTGACCCTTTCATTGGTGTGCAGTGGAAACTCCACAATACTAATCATTAGTATTTAGCCCCTGTGCCGCTGCCTTTCGTCTCTTATGAGGTCACAGCGTGCCTAAATTATGCAAACCATGTCGGGGGAGGGGGATATTACTCTACCCACCACTAATGGCATTATTACAGAAGAGCGTGACACTCTGCAGAGGTGTGGCTAGACACTGGATGGGAGACTTGGGATGTGTGCCTCAGGTGCCTGGTCTTAACAACACCCATGCTGTTAAATGGACAAAAGATAGGTTAACTTATTTTGGAGAAAAAAGAGAGTTAATTTTTATTGACAAATATTGTTTTTTATCTCTTTAATTTATTTTCAAATTTTGGTATGTTTGCTTATATGAAAGCATTCATTTATGTTTATTTATTTTGTTTTTAGGTTCTGTTTAACAATGCGTGTCATTTGTTATTTGCTTGTGCTTTCCTTTGCAATTCCAACGGTTTGTGATCGTTGCCCTCAAGTCTGTGTTTGTGACAACTTGAGACATTTTGTGACCTGCACTAACAAAAACTTGTCTGAAATTCCTACCTTTATACCACAGGTGAGTAAACATATATTATATATAATATAGAATTAAATGGAATTTACTAGATTGCAACTTCCTGTGTCAGCATTGGAGAACTTTGCCTCCGCTAATAAATTTTGCTCAAAAAAGCATGTTCCCCCTGTAAGGACCATCTCCGCCACATACCACGTACTGTCTAATAAAAAAATAGATCCATTAGAGATCATTTGGTACGCGCTGACCCACCGGACAAATATGACACCTCGAAATACACATTCTCTACCAGGACGGGTTTATTATAAATTCCATAGTTGTAATGTTTGCACCATTTTAATTTCAGGTGGTAATGCAACACAATAGGAACAAAGTAATTTTGTCTTCTAGGAAAAAAAAGACATTCTCATATCTCACCAGTTTCAGTTAGTTAGGTACACAAACCCATCTGCCTTGGCCCTCAGGTGCCTCCAGCATACACCACACCAGCTCCTCCTTTAAGCTCTGGTCTGGATTCTTAATGAGGCTGCTCTCAGCCACCAAGAAATGTGGGGATACGGCATAAATACTACGGAAGCCGTCCGTTTGCAGATGTCAAAGGATCAGATGGAGGGAGTGGTTTGCCGCTGTCAGGCTCCCAGATGCTGCCACTAGATACGCCCACCAGAAAAAGGGCGGGGGAGGCTGCACACGTCTCTATGACGTGGACTTCAGCCACACCCACGGCCCGAGGAAACAGTGCAGCACACGTCAGAGGAAGCATGGAATCGGCCACGTCATTGGTTAATGTGGCTGCAGCGGGACCCAACTGACAGAGCCGGCACCATGTGACCCAACCATATCATATTGGTGGAGCATACACGTCCCGATTGGTATAACAACAAGCAGTTTATAAGAAGCAATATTATAAGGGACATAAACACAGGGTTTAAGCAAGATGAGACATGATACGCAGTGGTAACAAAAAATAAATGAAAATAACGATCATTCGTATACCACAGAGATCTATACGAACAAGGGAGGGAAAAAACCAATAGGCTAACTGGTCGCGTCTGAGCTAGGGAAGCCTAAGGGTGTCAATTAAATCACTATGTGTAAACAACGTGCGTTGCGCACGTCGTGATGCGTGCCTAAGAATGAACTGCATATGTATGTGGGAGAAAACCTGAACATATAGTCACTGCGGTAATGTGTAACATGGGCATGATGTACATGTCTCAAACACCAAAGGGAAGGATGGGCCAGCGAATAGGGATCTGTTGCAAAAATAAGTGAAGTGATAATAGCGATATAATGATAAATGCCCTGCTGTGGTTGGAGACCACCCAGGGGTAAGTGAAACATGTAGCAAAGACATGTGTGGGAAAAATCAAAAGAAATCTATATACAAAAAATCCTATGGGAACGAACACAAAGACCCCAGGGGAGCGTCAGTTTCAACGATCAGGTAAGAAACACGTCAGTGTGAGGTTTGTGCTGAGGCCTCTGGGTATGACAGTATCCAGTGTGTAGATCCAAAAGGCCTCTCGTTGAAGGAGGAATTTATCACGATTGCCGCCCCTGTGGGATGCAGACACATGTTCAATGACCATACCACGTAATTCGTGGGTCTGGTGACCGGAGCTGGCAAAATGTACAGCCATGGATTTATTGAGGTCAGGGGTACCACCCTCCAAAACTATGTTAATGGCGCCCCTGATGTCACTCCGATGTTTCTGGAAACGTCGTTTGAATGGTCCAAATGTCTTACCTACATAAATGAGACCACATGGGCATTTAAGTAAGTAGACGCATGTCTCAGTGATGCAACTAAGGTAGCCCCTAATATGGTATCTCGTGCCGCTGTGTGGGTGTGGGAATGTTTCCCCAGTAATTAGTGCACTGCATACGTTGCAATTGTGGAACTTGTAACAACCCATGCGGTGTGAAATCTTGATGGGTTCTCGTGCATACTTAGGTCTGGGGTCTGCCTGGACCAGATGGTCCCTCAGGTTTCTGCTGCGGCGCTAAACCTGTAGCGGTGCTTTTTTGATTTGTGTAACCAGGTTTTTGTCTGCCTGGAGGATATTCAGGTTATTTACAGTGGACCTACGCACCAGGTGAGAGGCTTTATTGTACTTCTGAATAAATGGGAGTCTGCCATCAGACGGTTTGTCCTTCTGTGCTGGGGAGGTCATTTTGGTTATTGCGTGATCCAGTATAGTATCTGGGTAGCCCCTCTGTTGGAACTTGGTATACATCATTTTAATTTGTGTGTTACATATGTCCCGGTCTGAGCATATGCGCAATACACGCATAAATTGAGAGATAGGTAAGTTGTCCAACAGGTGTCTAGGGTGTGAGCTACAGTAGTGCAAGATCGTGTTGCGGTCAGTAGGTTTACTGAACACAATTAAGTATGACCATAAATCACTGGTACTCGAGGGTTTCCTCAATCAAATACCCTGCTAATTTCTCATCAATCCACCCATTAGTAATGCCTATGTTGACCAAGCTTTTAAGTCTATGTACAGACTTATACGCAATATCCTTTTTGACAACCTTGTAGCTGGTATTATCACTCAATAAAAGTAACATACCTTGTTTGTAGTTAGTATAGTCCATGATCACAATCGCTCCCCCTTTGTCAGCTGGCTTGATGATGATTGATGCATCTTGCTTGAGCTCCTTAACCCTTTCGCTGCCAAGGACGTACGGCATACGGAGGAACAAAAGTGTTCCCGGCTGGCCAGCTCAGTATGCCGTACGGACCTGGCATTTACAGTTCTACTTAATCTGCTTTAGTTCCTTAAAGTTCTGCTTTAGCGACCATGAGCTTATAGTAGAACTGTTCCCCGGACTGTCCCCTTCAAATTAATAACTGTCATCAGCGGCTCACAAGCCCCTGATGACTGCTATTACCAAAAATACTGGGCGCCCCCCGCCGCCACCGCTGCTGCCGGCCGCCGACATCTGGAGTCTCTCATCCCTCCCTGGAGCCACCCCAGGGAGGGATGAGAGAATCCAAGGATCCCCCTGCTTCCCCCCGCTTGTAGGGTCTGTGGCAGCGGGGATCCGTAAAAAAATCACCGGGGGGGGGG